TTTCAACACAAGGCACACATTTAAAAACAGTCATTAAAAAACAAGATGAATTCAATAAGCATATGAATAACACAGGTATAATATTCATGAACACAGTGCAGTGAGAGATATGAACAGGTAAACATTGTTTACTTGTTATCATCCAATAAATAATTATAAATCACATTTCCGCAAAGGCTTATAGGCACGAATCTGATGATTTAGCAGAATCATTTCCCCTGAACAAAACTGCAGAGAGGAGGAAGAGATGATGTTTTAGTTATCAGACAAATGATTGTGTCCATGCAAAACGAGCATGATATACAAACAGTCGTCATGCTGTGTGAACCATACAACTGCAACCTGTTGAAAACAACCTTTACTTTCAATTTAAAGAAAGAAAGAGAGAAAATCGTACATAATTAGGTACATTTGAAAATATAACGTTGCCTAAGAGCCTTAAGGCTGACACATCATTCAGTTATCATGAATAAAAACAACCCTACGTGTTTGGATTCAAAGAGTCCGAACAGAACATCCTCTTCAGGTGTTTAGAGATTTCTTTCATGTTGAGTCCGTATATGATAGGATTAAAGAGAGGATGATACAACAGCATTTGTAAAGTCATTATTAAACGTACAGTTTTTGGAAAGTCATCTTCCAGTTTATCCGTGACAACATCATAAATAATCAAACAGGAGAAGTTGATCAGAACCAGCAGGTGGGGGAAACAGGTCTGAGCTGCTTTCCTCCTGACCTCTGCAGAGCTTCGGTAGGCTATTATAAATATCTGAGTGTACGTATAGAGTATGAAAAGCACCGGGAGAAAGGACATGTTAATCAGAACGACCACACCGAACACAGTCATGGCCTTCGACCTCACACAGTGCAGTTTGTTAATCAGGTTGTTGCAAAAGACTCCTTTGGATGTAGAACCACAGAGAGCAGTGTTAGCACTGAATGCTACCGGCACTGCTACATGACAAGCAGGAAGAACCCAGGATAAAACCAGACAGACAGTAACAGTTATTTTTCTCATGATAATTGGATATTGCAGAGGTTTACATATAGATACATATCTGTCATAGGACATGCCTGCCAACAGTAAAAACTCTGAGCAAGATAAAGAGTAATACAGAAAAATCTGAACGTGACAGGCTGAATGAGATATGATCTGTTTCTCTGATAAAAAGTCAATCAGAAGCTTTGGGTAGACGTTAGTGCTGAACAGAACAGAGTTAATCAACAAAGCTGCAATGAACATGTACATGGGCTCATGGAGGTTTCTGTGTAAAGCAATGATGCACACAATAGTGGAATTACTGCAGATGATCAGAACATAAACTGTAAACATGATCACAAAATACAGATATCTATATCTCTGCACTTCCACATGACCATCAAGAGTTATATATGTCACATTATATTCACCAGCCATTAATAGTTTCTAAAAAAGATCATGCAATTGTATAAAACAAGGCAGATTATGTGCATTAAACACATGAATTAAAAACATACAACCTGTCGTGTGCTGTGTGTTGACGCACCAGCACTGTATGATGCAGAAAGTGGTCTGTTGGCTCAGTGGATTCTGTTTATAAGATAATACCCTCAATAGATCTCATTTGAATGCTTCACCAAGATCTACAAACATGTAAACAACTTGAAGATAGAGGTAGGCCTGTAGACAGGAGCACCAATCAGGGTGAGGGCCATGTTTCTGGAGACCTTTACAATGACCTTTACCCTCTAGTGTTTCTGTTCAAATTTAACGGGTCTGTTTTATCTGCTCTTACATTACCACGAAAACGACTAATCATGACCACATTTTATTTAACACCTTTTTAAGCATTAAACAATGTGCCAGACGACTGGTTTACACGAATAACTGCAGTGAATATACAGAGAATAGACACTGAAAATGTATTGTTGACTTGTAACAATAATAATACATGGAATTTTGAATATCGATTTTCACTAATGCTCAAAGATGCTTTATATAAAATCAGAACAGAAACAATACAAAGAGGAAAAAAAACGTGTGGGTGTGTATCTGATGGATGAACATAATCTAGGGTCACCCATTCATTTCCTATGGCGGTCATTTTTCGATGAAATTGGGGTTCAGCATTTTATAAATTCTACTAGGTGGATATCATAAGGCCTTGAGGCAATCAAATGTAAAACACAATATGTATGATTGGTTGGAGAGTAGTAACTCAGTCAGATTTGACCCGAAAAAAAGACAGGAGGATTGAAGTTGTGTTATTCTTGGGTCAGTGCTTATATTTTTGTACAACTTCCATGAAAGGGACACTGACCTTTTTATTTTTGCCGTCTTTTAAAAGATACTTCACAGGTTAACACAGCACCACCACAATATATTGGTTAAAGGAAGGGAGGAGAAAAAGAGGTAGTGAAGGGAGGGTTATGAAGAAGGTAAGAAACGTCACTGGCGTTGAATCAGAAACCAAAGACAAAGCTAGTTTTTTATTAGACATGAAACAGCATGTAAACAAAC